GACTCCAAGATGGGGCAGGTTTTTAAAGTGAAAGGCCACATGACCGATATGCAGGCATCGGTCGATGACCACTCCAGGTTTTGCAAGGGAGGTAACGACCTCGCCGATCACTATGCGAAGCTCGGGGCTTTGGCCCACGAGAGGCCGAGCCCCGAGCAGTCGGAGTGGCTCGACCGAGCCCTCGTCATGTCCCGTCATTTCCAGAAAGGTTTGTGTGCTTGCTGCCAGATTGCTCCAGCTGTGGCCCTCGTGTGACCTCTCAGAGTCCAGACGTGAGCAGCGTGAGCCTGTTGCCCCCGTTCCCAAGGTCCGCCGTTCCTGGGTGTGGAGGGGCGTCTTCTGGCAGTGCAAGCCATGTTTGCGGGTTGTGCGGCCGTATGGGCCTTCCAACAGTGTCTGTTCGTCGACCCACAAGCGCTTTGACACGAAGCTCATAGAGCCTGGCCGCAAGTGCGTTGGTTGATCTTACTCGGGCGGCAGCGCCTCGTGCATCTGCCTGGAGCACACAGCTTCCTCGACTTGGAGGGCCTGTGAGGTACCCGAGCCAGAAGTGCAATGGCCACCCGCACTGCCCTCGTTCGACTGCAGCAAATCCCGCCGCCGTGCCAGCACAGCAGCGCAGCAGTTCAGCGGTCGAACTTACGACCTGCGTCAGTTCAGTGCCCTGTTTGAATTTGCGCGGGCTTATCAGGAGGGAAAAACACAGACAGAAACAAACGTCGAAGACCTCGGCCGTCTCAATACGACTCACAGCTGGTCGGCACCCGAAGAGTGATTGTGTTTGGCTCGACGTGGATGCTGTCAGCGTGGCTCGGCTGCGTGCCCAGTCTCCTGGCCCAGGCCACGGGGGCACGGCCCTGACGGTGCGGCCTGCGCTCGCGGCAGGCAGCTCCGCGTGCACGGCTGGCTCCCGGCGCCGCGTGCGTCTCGGGTGCCGAGCTCGACGGCTGCCTGGCTGGCTGCCGGGAGGACTGCAGACTGGCGCGACAGAGTAGCGCAGCGGCAAAATCCTCCTCCTCCTCCTCCTCCTCTTCCTCCTCCTCCTCCTCCTCCTCTTCCTCCTCCTCCACCTCCACCTCCTCCCCCTCATCCCAGCCTGTCGGTTGGAATGCCTTGCACCTGTTCGGGGGAGATCGGCGTACTTCACAGTCGTGGGGTGCGCGCACGAAAATGGTAATACTTTACCCACGTCCCAATCGACACCCTTGACAATCATCCCCCTCCTCGCCCTCCTCCTCCTCCTCCTCATTATCATCATCATCCTCGACTTGTCCGGCTGATGCTCTAGGGGAAGCTTGTGCTCAGGGGGCGCTTCAGCACCGCTATACGATGCGTTGTCAATGAAAACGGCGGAGTGGTTGTATTGTCAATGTTTGTTGGGCCCTTCAGTTTTTGTTGCGCCGTCGTGCCAGCTCACCCGAGTGGGTATATGTGCGCGCGTGATGAATCAGTTGGTACGGCGTGTCCAACACAACTATGATAATGAATCGTGGCGCGCTCTGTATAGCTTCACATGGATGAGCATCAGACGCCGGAGAGTGGGCAACATAATGGACACGAAGCATTCCACGCACAGTGGTACTTCAAATTAATGTTGTGGATAGGCCGGCAGCAACGAGAGTGCGCATATATAGAACCACGGATGTTGCCCGCACTGTAAACTTATCATGGATGGCGCACACGACCGACTCGATGGAGCTTGGGCGGCTTGGAGGTTCTGGCTCAGCACGGCGGGCAGAGGAGGGGGGAACAAAACAAACGTGACCATGTGCCGAGTCTAGGTGCCTTCCGCCCGAACTGGGGGGCACCCCCGACCCGTCTCCCCCGCCGAACGCAGGACGCGGCTGGGTGGACGTCGGGCCTTGGTGGCCAGCGAAGGGGGGAAGTCCCCAACCGTCGGGACCTCCTCCTCCCGGTTGCTCCAACACCGCTTGCCCAGTCTGCGAGGGTCCCGCGTGGCGCGGGAACGTGCTTCGGATTTTGCGAGGGGGATTCCCAGACCTCCGACGTCATGATTTGTTCACCGCGTGGACCCCCAGAGGTTTCGACCCGTTCTCGGGGACCCGCTGGGGCTTCGTTCCTCATCTGGCGCTCCTTCTTCCAGCAGCCCTTCACTACCCCTCTCTGCGCGCCGCCACTGCTGGGCACTGTGCCCGCTTGTGTCCAGACATGCGACGTCTTGATTTTTTCAGGTCGGCGTCTCTGGAAGTCCCGACCATTTCTCCGGGACCGGTTTAAGTCGTCTTTTGACGGTCCCGAGGCCCAGCGAGGGCCCCCCGGGGCCGAAAAGAGCCAAAAACCTCCCGTCCTGATCTTTTTGCGACGCGATCGTGCGAGGGTTCCGCACCCGCGTCTGGCGTCCAGAGCCTCCTGGCCCCCTGCAGCAATGCAGCTGCCCGGCCGCCCGGCCGGGGCCGCGCCGCTCGGTGGCCGGCGCGCCATGGGCGCTGCAGCTTCCGGCGCGCCGCTGCGACGCGGCCTGCCCGGCAGCCGCAGAGAGGCCGGCATGCTTCAGAGGAGGAGGAGGAGGAGGAGGAGGCAGCAATATCGACTAGACGCACCCTGAGGTCTCATAACGTCCAAATTGGACGCCAGAATGCTGGCGTCCAAATTTGGACGCCGACGTCCAAATTTGGACGCCATGACATACGCATTGCATATGATAGTATGTAGTAGCTTATTGTTATGTGTTGCTACGTGCTCCGTTCAATGCTTGTGTTGTTATGTTATGTTAGCGCCATGCGGTTCGTGTGCCTGTAAGTGTTTTGAATGAGGACTACTGCAAACGTCCAGTGCGTATAAAGCTAACGCAGCGACTATAAATCAGATTTGCAGCGTGCGGGATGGACTGGGATGGTGAGAACTGTATCCTTACAACCACGAAACAACATAAATGACGAGAGGCCCGAAGAGAGAACACCGACTATCAAATGCCATCATGGGCAGAATCAGGGGTTCCTAGTGAGCGCGTGAAGAACACAAAAACAGAGGAGGAAGATGAGGAGGAGGAGGAGGAGGAGGAGGAGGAGGAGGAGGAGGCGGAGGGGGGGGGAGGACGAGGAGTGGACGGAGGAGGAGAAGAGAGAGACAAGGAAAGAGAGATATAAAGAGAGGGATACAGAGAGAGAGAGAGAGAGAGAGAGAAATAGAGAGTGCAGGAGAAAAGGATGAGCTTGACCATGCGCGGAGATCTCTCCTCGAGGAGGGGGGAGGACTACGAGGCCACATCCTGCGAATTCTTGACGCTTCGCGTATCCCCACCAGCCCATCCAGAAAGATCGGCAGGGGGGTTGGTGAATCAGGGACGGCAGGATGCATGCAGTCGTGCAGCCGTCTTCGAGAAAACAAGGATCCCACATAGCTTCCAGCGTTGAAGTTTAAGATGGAAATCCGTGCAAGCTACGATGGTGCTTCGATGAGGGGTGAGGGGTGCTTCGATGACTCAATGGCTGTTGCGCTGATTTGTATGTTAAATTCGCGTGCGTTCCGTAACTTGGAGGCATCTTGGGGCTCAACTTGGGATTATCTTGGGCCCCTCCTGGGGCCTCCTGGGGCTCTGCCTTTGGGCTCTCCTGAGATCCTTTTAGGGCCTTCTTGGGGCATATGTGTGCTCTGTTTGGGCGTCTTGGGGCTCTTTGGTGGGGCCTGGGGGCCTTCTTGGGGCTCGGTTGGGATGCCCGAGGGGCCTCTTGGGCCGTCTTGGTAAACCTCCCAAGCAGGGAAAGGAAGGCGGTCGGAAAAGGACACGCCCTAGACCACCCGCGCCCAGAGGGCTGGTGGGATTTCTCTGGCGTCATCAAGCCGTTGTCTTCCATCCTCAGCTGCCTTCTCTTCACCCTCTTCTCTGAAGCTCGTTTGGCTCATGCTCGTCGAGTGGCTTGGGAAAGTGCCCAAGGAGAGCTGTCTCACTCCTCTCGGGCGCGCGTTCGCGAACGCCCAGGCCATGTCGCAGACGGCGCGGCCCCTCGAGAGCACAGTTCGTGACTCAGCGACGCCGCCTCCCGACAACCAGGCGGGCATGGACTCCTGGGAGCGACAACATCCAGAGCTGGCCGTGTCATCGGCGGCGGGCGGTGAGCCCAAGTCACCAGAGTCCCCAGAGGTCGAGATCACAGCTGCGACGCTGGCCCCTGGCAACGCTGCTGGGAGCGACGGCCGCATGCAGGAGGAGTGCGATGATGTCGCCATGATTGATGTCGCAGTCGAGGCCATGAGGGATGACGCAGCCGAGGCAGCCGAGGACGACGTGGCGAAGGATGGCCCAGCGTGTCAGCAGTCGCAGCCGTCCACTCCACAAGCTGCGGGCGCTACTGAGGAGGCTGTGCACGGTGCTGGTCGTGAGGTGCGTCATGATGAGAGCCGATGGGACGAGTGCGAGCGCCCGCCAACCACACCACCAGTTAAGAATTCATTGAAAGCGCAGCTCGAGCAGTCCGAGTCGGCGCTGAAGGACGTGGCCGAGAATGCTGGCATGGACTGGACAGTGGTGAACAAGCACCTGGCGACCTTCCACAACTCTGGCGTGATGAAGATGGCCGCCGCCATGAAAGAAGCAGACGAAGAGGTCTCCATGACGAACCGTGCTGATCCAGATGAGTGGGCCTTCTGGCAGAAGTACAAGCAATCGAATTTCGAGTTCAGTGCGAAGGGGAAGGCTGGCAACCCCATGGCGGGGCGCTGGCAGAGGGCGATTGCTGCGAATAAGGATGGTGTCGCAGATGAGTTCAAAAAGTGGAAGGATGATGGCAAACCTCTGAGCGATTTTCGTAAGAAATGGGCAGCTGGAGAATATGACAAGTACAGGAACACCTTGAAGCAGGTGAGCTCCTTCACGCAGGAGTTCTTCAAAAAGGGGGAGTACCTAGCGGTCGGGCGGGTAGCGCGGCTCGAAGGTGGCGGAGATCAAGGCCGTCAGAACGCCATCACCTACGCCACCAAGGCGATCCAGATGGGCCCTCCGTGGATATGCTACGACGAGATGACGGAGACCATCAAAATATTGTACATCACGAAGGGTTTCAGCGAGGTGATCTCAGAGAACTGGTCCAGGCACCAGGAGTGGATCTCCAACGTGCAGGACTGGCAGCATAAAACGCACACGCACACAGCTCTCTGGAGGTGAAGGAGGGTGAGGAGGAAACGCAGTGGGAGAGCTCGGAGGTGGATGAGGATGAGCATGAGGAAGATGATGAGGATAATGATGATGCGGATGTGCACAAATGAGTCGGGACAGGAGGAGGATAAGGAGGATGAGGAGGACAAGCACGGTGAGGATGAGGACGAGCAGGAGGATGAGGAAAACGCTGAGGATGAGGATGGCGATGAGGAGAACACGAGGAGGAGGAGGAGGAAGAAGAAGAGGATGAGGAGGAGGAAGAGGATGAGGACGAGGAGAAAACGGGCGCCGCATCCCGAGGAGTCGGCGCAGGCGCCGCAGCCCACGCCGGCGGAGGCGCTCGGGGACGGATGAGGGGGGAGGCGGCGGACTACTACTACTACTACTACTACTACTACTACTACTACTACTACTACTACTACTACTACTACTACGACTACTACGACTACTACTACTACTACTACTACTACTACTACTACTACTACTACTACTACTACTACTACTACTACTACTACTACTACTACTACTACTACTACTACTACTACTACTACTACTACTACTACTACTACTACTACTACTACTACTACTACTACTACTACTACTACTACTACTACTACTACTACTACTACTACTACTACTACTACTACTACTACTACTACTACTACTACTACTACTACTACTACTACTACTACTACTACTACTACTACTACTACTACTACTACTACTACTACTACGACTACTAGTACTACTAATACGACTCATCATCCCCCCATCCCCTTACCTTCTCGACATCAGCTACCTTCACTCCTAATCCTGCTCCCCCTATCGTATTCCTGCCCCTCTTCCGCTCGTTCGTCTCGTTCGCCTCGGGATCGGTCGAGCATACCCTTGTGTGGCGACGGCTGGAGTCACGCCAACATGCCGTCACATGTGGCACCTCGGCCAGTTTGGGGATAGTTCGGATTTCTGCAAGTTCGTACTGAGGCGGAGTAGAAAGACGAAAGAAGTATGCAGAACGATGAGGGAGCCCATGACTACATGTGAAACCTCTCGACTCCACGTCGTCCAGAGTTCTCATTTAGATTGTTTGGGCCCTCTCGGGGCTGTCTTGACCTCCTTAGGGGCAAATCCGACCTCCTGTTGTATCATCTTTATCGTTGTCCGCATCCTCAGTCTCCTCTTCCCCCTCCTCCTCCTCCTCATCCTCCCTCCTCCTCCCCCTCCTCGTCGTCATCATGATCGGCATCATCATCAGCATCATCATCATCATCACCATCATCATCAGCAGCAGCATCATCATCAGCATCACCCCAATCATCCTCATCATCATGCTCATCAACATCTTCATCATCATCATCATCCTCCTCATCATGATCAGTCAATGTGTGTGCCTTCTCGTGTTTTCGCCTCACTGAGGCCCCAAGATGGCCCCACGACGGTCCAATATAGCCCCAAGAGGGGCCCAAAAGGGCCCCAATACGGCCCCAAGATCGCGGGATAGCAGCAGAGTAGTAGAAGAATGAGAAGTAGTAGTAGTAGTAGTAGTAGTAGTAGTAGTAGTAGTAGTAGTAGTAGTAGTAGTAGTAGTAGTAGTAGTAGTAGTAGTAGTCGTAGTAGTAGTAGTAGTAGTAGTAGTAGTAGTAGTAGTAGTAGTAGTAGTAGTAGTAGTAGTAGTAGTAGTAGTAGTAGTAGTAGTAGTAGTAGTAGTAGTAGTAGTAGTAGTAGTAGTAGTAGTAGTAGTAGTAGTAGTAGTAGTAGTAGTAGTAGTAGTAGTAGTAGTAAGTAGTAGTAGTAGTAGTAGTAGTAGTAGTAGTAGTAGTAGTAGTAGTAGTAGTAGTAGTAGTAGTAGTAGTAGTAGTAGTAGTAGTAGTAGTAGTAGTAGTAGTAGTAGTAGTAGTAGTAGTGGTAGTAGTAGTAGTAGTAGTAGTAGTAGTGGTAGTAGTAGTAGTAGTAGTAGTAGTAGTAGCGGGGACAGGCGCTGGCTGCCCCTGCTGGCGCTGGCGGCGCTGCGCCCGCTGGGCCGACGGCGCGCGCCGTGGGAGGGTGTATAGGGCGGGATGTCAGTTGTGGCATGCGTGGTGTTCATGGGGGCAGAGGTGAGTCAACTGTGGCATGCGTGGCGTTCATGGGGGCTAGTGTGAGAGATGAACTGGCGTAAGTGCCCAATCGTGTCCATCTACTGTCCCTCACCACTCCCCTAGCGCCGATCGACCCTTATCTAGCCTACGTCCACTGCTGTTCCGCCTCGATCGTCACCCTCCTGATTCGCATTCCTTTGCCTCGCAGCCCGCCTGCGTGACCCCCATCACTGCCATCCCAGTTTGATCGTACTCGCGGTGGCCATGCACTCTTCCTCGGCTTCTCCTTCTACACCTATTGTGTTA